GTTCCATTCCAACCTTCATTACGTACGTCTTCGTGATTAAAGATGTCATTCAAGTGGACATTCCATTCAGCCGGTGTTTTCACTAATGGCCCAGAATTAATTGGTCACCTAATTCTGTAATGAAACAGCAATGATGCAGTTTATATCTCCGAAGAATACATATGAAATGAATGTGACGTAGCAGTAGAATAGGTAAATCTTTGGCGCAGATTATGTCTTACGTCATCTCTAATACTTAAGAAAGTGGATTGAGTCGCACTCCTGCTCCGGATGTTACGAGATTGGGGGTTCATGTGTACTCTGATTCAAGTATCATCTGGGAAATCGTTGATAGCAAGAAATGATTGATGTTCAGGCCTGCAATTGATACTGCGCCGCTTGTAATAATATCCAGCCTTCTTGGCTGTTCGCCTGGTTCAACATCATTGTCTTCTAGATCTAGAAGCTCTTGCGGCTCAACTTGAGCGTCATCGCCTGCCTGTGGTGGCTCTTCATCTTGATTATCATATATAGCGCTCATTTTAGCGTTGTAATACGTTTGTCGCTGCTCAGGTAGTAGTGGTTGGAGTTGATAGTAGCCGAGGATGTTTTCTGTTGGTTGGCCTCATTCATGTAATCCGGTGGTAGGGGAGGAAAGAATCCGGGCTCGCTATTGGCTAATTCTGACAGCATCATGTAACATGATACATATGGGGAGGGCAAAGTATAATAATATAATTAGGAACTAGGAACTGGCTTTGGATCGTTTTGTCTGGGGAAGGTGGTTGAATGTTAATTCCCAAGACGTCAATAGTATTACCAATACCCGAAAGATATTGGTGTAGAGGCTGTGGCATTTGCAGAAATGGTACAGAGCGATCCAAAAGCGTGGACCGGTGTTTCAGGTCGTAAACCTTTTCTTGAAGTACTTTGTAAGCACGTTGCCAGAATAAAACATTGGCGTAATAGCTAAACATTCGCAAAGTTATGATGCGCGCGAATCCTTTACTAGATTATGCAATAGCTGTATATGTTTGGTCTACGATATCCTGGTATCCAGTGAGGTTATTCTGGAATGAATACCGTTTTACTCTCGTGGAACCCGAAAGTCCATTTAATAACACATCTTTTATTTCGAGTGGATCGTTATTAGGTTTAGTTAATGTTGTTGACTTGAGCTGTAGCGTAGATCTGTCTATCGCCATAAATTCATCGAAAATATATTGGTTTTTGTCGCAATATCTACATAATTTTCTTTACGTTACAGTCAAAATACTTCGCACACGTTACTGGATCATTTCTTACCATTGTGGTTTTCGTACTATAATTGAATGAAAACGCTTTGTAAAGAGATATAGTTTGATTAAATTTTCTGAAATGCATTAATGTTTAATTCAGGTCATTGCGATTCCGCAGCATATAATTTTAAGGAGAAAATATTCTTGCCCAACTTTCGAATGAGAGCCAATACTTCTTTTCTCTTATTTTTCCTGGCGAAGATCTAATATATTTCAAAAACCTATAACCGTCATAACAATTTACGGCTACCGGATGCTATTAATTATTGTGTCCAAAATAGAATCAAACAGGGATTAGGAACATTATTTCAAATATATTATAATGAATTTAAGTCAAATTACATTTTTTCACTTCCATAATTTTCAATTTATTTTCTAGCCTTTCATTTTTTCAGCCATACCAGGAGTTCATATTTTTTCAATATATTCCTAATGCTCTCTGCCGGAGTTTTCCAACCAACTTTCTTAACATAGCTTTGCTAAAAACAAAACATTAAAACACGATTACCTCCAAATCATTGTACAATTTCTTTCAAGGTGCAATTATAGTTTACCAATTCTGTGACATACGTTTCATCATTTAGAAATTCTTCACAACAGCTAATATCATCTTTGCATCAAGTGGGAATAAAGAGTCGATGACTTTGCCATTTTAATAAGATATCATCAACGTAGGACAACTCGAATTTTATTTTATTTAATCAAAACAATATCATTAATCTTAATAGTAGGGAGTTTGCCCATTTATTTTTACGCTGCTATATATTTAGGTATTGAGTAAACCAAATGTTTTAGAATGGATCTGTTATGGAAGTCATTTTTTTTAAATATTTTTTTGTGATTAACAATATGGTGTAATCTATACGGCTCAGGAAGTGGTGTCAGTGGTTTCCCGATCAAAAAATGGCTCGGACTAATAAAGTGGTAGCCAAAAGTGTTCTAGAGTTTACAACTGCCTCAATCTAAGTGAGAACCGTAAGGTATTCTTCGTATGTCAAATAGTACGATTCTATTACTCTTCGAATATTACTTCTGGCACTTGATGGATCCCTCTCATAAACTACCAAAAATGTGCGGATTACGATGGAATGAATTGCCATCTTACTTCAAATAGTGAGCTTAATTCAATTAGGTTAGGTTCCGTTTGACCATATCCTTTAAAATTTAAATTTAAAAATCTTTAATTGTCACTATGAATAGTAATACAACAGCCACCAACTACAACACTAGACACAAACTTATTAAGGCGCGCACATATAAACTAGCCTGCTCTTTCAATACGATCAACGGTTTAGGTACTCAGTTTATGAATCAACTTCCACTCCATATCCGAAACTTAGACTACAAAAAATGCCATGCTTCCCTAGTTAAACTTTTTAAAGAATTAGCTACGCTCCCTTAGACTAGGAATGTCTCCATTCCAAAATTCTAAAGTCTGAGCGGATACTGATACTGCGTCGACAGGAACTGTTGGTGGCAGAGGAACTTTGGGTCCGAGGAGCCGTGAACTTTTTCTGAGGTTTTTTGGCCTTCATCTTTCTAACTGAAAAGATACCTAAATGCATTATAATATTGTCCTTTGTTAATATTTTGACGTTTCTTTGAATAGCTTGGATTACAACATCGCATAGCCGTAGGGCCGAAAAATTCAGTTTTTCTTTATTACCTTTTGCAGAAAATTTATTTGCCTGGTCTTTTGTTATTATATTTTGCATTAGGGCGCGAATTGTGGCTCTTTCATTATATTGGTTTTTAGGGGCCAGCTCATGTATCAAGCCTGATGCGAAATTTTCCTCTTTTAAATTTTCTTCCAATTCATCTATTTGTTTCATATTCTTTAACGGAAATGTAATGACTTGGTTTCGCTCGTCTTCATCTAAAATCACTAACGATTGCACCTTATCCTCAATGGCAGAGGTAGTTAGTTTTTTTTTTAAAGATTTTTTATTACATTTAATATGAAAAAAATATATACAATCTATAAATTTACAACATGAATATCTATCTTCATTTGAAGATAACAAAACAATTATTTAAACTATTCCCTTAACTATTACTTTAATCTAAATAATATTCATTATGTGGCAAAAATATCACAAAAACCACAAACAATATATTTAAGGACAATACAACACTAACAAAAACATAAATGTTGCGGAAAACTTTTGAAAAACTAAAACTGAAATATTTATTTTAACTAAAGATCTTTTATAAAACTAGGTAGAACATAGTTAGAATACCAGAACATATCTTTTGTCACAGATTAATTGTTGTGTTATTTTGAAAAAAATAATTTTGAGATTTTATTTACTAATTCCATAATTTCCGGAACTTGTATTGCCTCATGTAGTATATAGTGTAGATCGACTGGATTTCTTGATCTTTCTAAAACTATCCTTATGCAGATTTAGTAGCTTGAGTACCATTATGAACATCTTGACCTGTCACAATGTCAGGCTCACAATTTTCTATTATATGTACCAAAATCTGGACATCTTCCGGTAACTGTCTGGCGTGATATCAATATCTAAACTTGTAGTAGAACTATTCAAACAAATTTGATTTTCAATGCATTTATTGCATTTAAGTCAGCATTGGTGTACTTCAAATGCAAGTTTTGAAAGCGTGGATCTAGTAAAGATATAACGTTCGACACCGTAACATAGTATTGAGTGCACAATTATTTATTTATGTACTCCAGCGGCTGCAATAGATTAGATAATTCTCTAATTAATTTAACTTCAGCCTTTGATACAATACCGAGAGCATTTGCATCACTGATTGTAATTTGTGCGACATATGAAGATAATTTTAAAAATCTTTCTAGCATGTAGTAACACGAATTCTACCTTATTTTTACATCTAATATGAACTTTAAAGGCTCATGCGAACTTTCACATTAAGCCTTTTTCAGCTTGTCTGAAGCTACAACACTTGTTCTAAAACATTTGACTAAGTTTCTTACTTTTTTAACAAAATTTATAACATCAGGATCAGCAAGTGCTTTATCTGCAATTAAATTAATAGTATGTGCAAAACAAGAATGGTGTTTTTAGTTGTTCCATATTTATCAAAAAAATACGCATAACACATATTTCATATTACTGCCGTTGCGGTGATGATAGCTGCTGTTAAATTATATACAGCAAGGTATAATTTAGGCTTTTTTTAAAATTTGTCATATCGAGACGAATTGTGCTTTGTAAAAATAGCGCCAATTGGTCATAGCTCTGGATATCTAGAAATTGTACAATAACTAATCGTGATTATGTTATTTCTCACAATTGGGAATTTGAAAAAAAAAATTATACATTTATTTTTATGCGCTTTAAAACCACATTATTAAATTTATTGATATGTGAAAGAAAAAAGAAAAAAAAAGTTTTTCAATTAGTTATGAGCGTTTAAAAATTGATTAAATTCAAAAATTAGTCATGTGACCGTTAACGCGCCACGATTGGCTACCGTGGCTGTGACTTCAGATTGTAATTGCAACCTCCTAACATTGACTACCGTGCCGTTACTCTATTGGCGCAGTGCTTACGGATATATTTTACGGAACTTGATAAACACGTGGTAAATTTTCCTTTAAAAACGATTAGTTGAAGTTAATTTAGTTCAACTATGTATGATACAGGATATATAAAAGCAAAATGTTCCTAATATTGATATAGTTATGGTAGCTATTTAGCCATTTCTTTTGTCATGAAAATATTCTTAAATTTAACTTGAAATTATAGGTGTTTGTAAATTCACTAGTGCTGCTGCGATGATAACAATATAGTCTGTTAAAGGTAACATATTATGATTAACAACCGCATGAGGTTTGAGAAAATCAAACTCTCTCATTCGTCTAATCACGCGTTCTATATGAATACGTAGAGCAGCGATTCGTTTGCCTTGTAAAACATTGGATTGTGATAATTTAACTCCAGCACTCACTAAAGGTGTTCGAATTAATTCAATCTTTTTATTGTCAAGAAGCTGAACAATATTCTTGAATCCTCGATAAGCCATTACAGCACAACCTTCGGGTAACTCTTCTACTATTTCGCTTTCCTGAAATAACAATTCATCTGAAGTTCGACCTCCAAATCCGTTTGAGATGAAATTGATAAAGCCATCCGGTGTGCAAGATATTAAATATTTTAAAGTATTACACTTTTTGTACTCTGACCAAGTTAATGATTGATGCTCTGGATCACTAGGTTTCTTGATTTGAATCTCAAATGCATCAATAATAGCTACCACATGACTATAAGAACATCTAAATGTTATCGGTAATATTCTTTTTATATTATCAAGCTTATGCATGTAAACAAGCTTTTTAAAAAAATGTGTCAATACCGGAATTGTTTTATTTAAAATAATGCTAACGTTGCTTACACTCATTCCGAACTGTTCGCTTAATCTTTCAAAACTGTCTTGGCGTCGAATTTTCATTAAAGATAATTTTATATTAGTCATATTGGTATTAGAAATAACACTGAGACGTTCTAACATTACATTAAATTTTTGAGGGACTCCAGTATAGGCCCTCAAATTGTCATTAATTAAATAATATGTGACTTCTACAATTTCACCTTTTTTATAGGAGACTGTGAGCTACAATCTATATAACTCGAGTCGCTATTCTCTGAAGGCTCATAAATCTCTCGAGATCTGTTTGAATTTGTGGTGAAACTATTATCTGACAATTTTTTCTGATTATCTTCGATTATTGGTATTATTGGAGATGTTGCAGTACTCATGCTACCAGTTTTAATTGGTGAGCAGGACTGATCTACTCCGGATGATTAAGGTTCACAATGGACTGACTTGCTACAATATTTAGGATTTACTTGAATAGCAACAGCACGACTATTAAAATCGATTGGTGTTTGTGTACCAACACTGACTTTAATTATTATATTTGAAGGAGCATTATCACTTTCAACATCAACACTGTTGCCTGTTATGGCATCAATATTTGGTTTCTAAGGATTAACAATTTCCATATTACCCGAAGATTCACTCAAAATTTCTTGAATTAATTGTTGTCTTCGTCTTTTTTCTGAAGCTGGTCTGGAAGTCCCTCGTCGTTTACGATTAGGCTGACATTCAAACTTGTGTGGTACCACATCAATTTTAATCTTAGCTTTACCTACGTTTGTCGTGTAATATATATAATTTTTCATATCATCCTTTAGCTGCAAAAGGAACGTATAATAAGAATTATATAAATGTTTTTATAATTAGGAAACAAAACCATCTTAATCTTCAATCTTATATAGTTCAATACTTAACCTAAAACGTCAGAAAATTATAAATATATCAAAGTTATTTCTAGTTATCAGATAACTTTAAATGATTAGTAGAAAATTGAAATACTTATATCAAAGTGATCTTCACAACAAGAAAAATTCGATTTTGTTTCAGGATAATCTCGGTGCACTGCTTGAAACCACTTTCTTTGACGTTTCTCGTCACCAGGAACATGCAAAAACATTTTTTCAGGAGTTGTCTTTGTTGTATTTGTACATAATGGTATAAAACAACAGCGATAACATTTTACATTTGAGAGTTTTTATATATTTTTGAATATTTAACATTGACCGAACGATATTAATAAAAGTTCAAAGCATAGTACATGTTCAAAGCTGTATCTTACAATGAATCACCCGTAACAGAATGACGTCACACGCGCTTTGCTTCGTTCGGGACTTGTCGGCGCTCAAATTTTAATTTGGTATAACTTTTTAATTATTGCGAGAAAAATAAAACTTTGTTATAAAACTTATATATGATCTTTCCATTAAAAAAAAATTCAAATACCTAATTGAATATCAATAATATTTTCAGACAATCTGTGTGAGTGAATGTAATTTTACTTTTAGTATATTATAATGTTTTTATCACAACAATTAATACTAATCACACGTAATTTCAGAAGCTTGAATTATTTTTCCATTGATATCTACTGAAACCATTCCATTGAATCATATGATGTCTACTGTAAAAAATAAGAATATGTAATACTGTAAAAAATAAAAACAACCTTTGGGTTGTGCCGTTGTACTATCAAATGCAGCTTTTGCACTAATTTCAATATCTGAATTCTCCGCGGGGGTAATTTCTTCACCTTCAGAAAGTTCTGAGTTATTTAAATCATCGTTTGCATTATAGTCTCTATTATTGTTGTTGTTCAAAGGCCGTTTTTGCGATAATAAGCAAGAGACATTTTTAGAATTTAGAAACAGGCTCACTATCTTTATCAGTGTTTGATTCATTTTCAGTGGTCTGTATATCATTTGTTTTAAATGATCTTTTTAAACGACGTGATCCTTGGGCATAATCCTCTGAAACATCAATGAATTATGTTACACAATGTCAACAACATTGAGCACAGGTGCTAACTATTAAATTCGATTTTGATGTCTATTGAAAAACTGCTCTTTTCATGTTATTCCCACCAAGTAAAGATAATTGGCCGATCTAGTACAAATTATATATATGCTCATACATTTAATATATGCAAATGCATGCTACTAACAATATTCGAACTTATTACCAATTCCAAAGTAACATCATTATTTCTTAATTTCATCTCCATTTCTTGTACATCTGTAGGCATCTGTAATGGGCAGTTCAAAAGAAATGGCAATGGGATTATGAGAAGTTGATGAATAATTTTGCTTTTGTGCTCTCACATAGAGCAACATTTCGTGTTGCTCTTTCTTAATAATTATAATTTCATAGCCTAATATCTCTAATTAATAATAGTGCAGGCCGGATCTGTGATGATGATGGTGCAGGCTGGACCATTGTTCGTGAGGACTGGACCATTGATCTGTATGGTGACGATGGGATGCGGTGTCAGTGAAAATTTTGTGTAGATTATTATGGAGGTATTGATATTTAAAATTAATTTTAGATGTTTCTCTTAGATATTTAATTGTTTTTAAATCTATTTGACTTTTTATGATAATCGGTGGGATTTTTGCCTCTTTAGTGGTGGTGTTCTTGGACGCCTGAGGTAGATGGTTTCGACCTAGTAGTGGTTTTCTCAGGGTCCTTGTTCTTTTTCGCCCTCTTTCGGCGTGTTACCTTCCTGTTATCCTCACTCTCCCTATCTGTATCCATATCTGTACGGTCCGTGAGCGCATCATATTTATTTTTTAGTGCAGTACTTGTCTGCACGTCCATCTTTTGATTTCTGTTCGACATCTTGAATTTTTTCCAAGGTCCCTGCCCGGGAATTATTCTGCTTCCTGAAGGATTTTGCGCACTGATTTTAAAATTTATTAAAAATGATATAAAAAGACTTTACAATTTTGAAAAAGAAAAAACACTTGCTAATGGGTGCTTACTTCCTGCCCATTAGCAACCCCAATCCGGCGTTTGGGGAGAGAAGTATGCAAAAGGCTCGTTCACCTTTAAAATTTTGACAGATATAATAATATATATCCAACTTGTAAGTATTAAGCCCGGTGCCTTTAAAAAGGCAAGATTTAGAATCAATTCCGGACTTAATACTTATTTCACTAAAATCTATTGAAACTTCACTAAAACTGTCTATGTGAGTATTTGACAGACAGACAGACAGAAATAAAAATTTATTCATTATATTGGTACATACATTGAATTAAATGTGGGTTTTTCTACCTTGAGGTATTCTACCCAAAGATGTATAGTTTTACATCACATTGTATTTATACAAATTTTATTATTATTATTTTACAAGGATAAAAAAAGGAGAAAAATTTTATTCTCCTGAAAAAAAATCCATTCAGTGGTTCATTGCTCATATATTTACTGGGGCTCGATCAGGTAATTTGGCATGGCATAATTCCCGTATCATATTATTTCTGGTGTGTATTGGCCTAACGCGCGGATGGTACTGTTATCGTGATTCCTACACTTTCGGTAAAAATTTTCAGTGAGCTTTTTTATGTGTTCTAGTATAGTCGGTATGTCCGTCTGTTCATGTAAATATTTCGTTGGGTAGTAGTGTCTCGTCAGTGGGTTCCTTGATTTGTCTAGTACCAGTCGCATTGCTTTGTTCTGTGCTACTTGTAGTCTCCGTCTGTTGGTCTTGGTTGTCGCGTTCCATACCGGAGCGGCGTATGTCGGTCTTATGAGTGTCAAGTAAAGTGTCCGCTTGTTCTTCACGCTTAGCGGGCTGTTGTGTTTCAAAAGAGGTCTCAGTAGATTCATCATCCCGTAAGCCTGTCCAATTTTTGTATTATGGTTTCGGTATGGTTTCGTCTATTGAAGTTGAGTACAGTGTTTTCTATTAGCTGTGTGAGTGGATGTAACGTAGAGTGCTTTTCCTTGAAGCCGTACTGTGTGTCTGGTATAATCTTGTTTCGTCTGATGTGTCTGTTGATTCGTTTGAGCAGTATCTTTTCGGTAACTTTGCTGTATTGAGGAGGCTGATTGGTCTGTAATTTTGCGGAGAGTCTGACTGTTTCCTCGGCTTCAGGATAGGAAATATGGTTGATGTTTTCCATGAACATGAAAGTGGCCTTTGGCCATTATATGGTTAACCAGTCGTGTAATCAGTATGTATGCGTTCGTTGGTAGTTGTTTCAGTATTATATTTTGTAGTCCGTCCGGTCCGAGTGCTTTCTTGTTCGGTAGTTTTTTGATTGTCGATTTTATTTCTGAAACTGTGGCAGGGTCTATTCGTAAGTCTTTGTCGTTAAATTGTTCAGTGAAATTTTGAATAGAATTGCGTACGTCTCGTCTTAAGTCTGCGTCTAATGTCGGCGTTTTGTTTGTGTATGTTTTCGAAGTTTGTGGCCAAAATTTCTGCTTTGTCTGCTGGTATCGTGGTGTAATTGTTTTCAGGTAGTTTGAGTGGCGGGATTGGTGTTGTTTTCCTGGTCAGGCTTTTGGCTGTTTGCCAAACTTTGTTTGGGTCAGTGTTGATGGTTTCTAGTCTTTTAGTCCAAGTGTCGTTCCGGTGCTCACGTATCTCATTATAAATAATTTTTGTCAGTCTGTTCACGTGTTCCTTTAGTAGTCTGTCACCAGTACGTTGCCACAATTTCTTTATATTGTTCTTTAATTTAATTTTTACTAATATTTGTTGGGGTAGCGTGTCAAATGTGATCGTCCGTGTCAGATGTGTCACAGCCTCCTCTATGTCTGTATTGGTCTCTATGGGTATCGTGTGTTGTATATTGTCTGTAATATTGTCTCTGAAAAGTGGCCAGTTGGCTCTGGAATAATCTAAAATGTTGCGTTCTGGAGTATGGTCGACGTCGAGTCTGTCAGAGATAGTCATAAAAACAGGGTTATGGTCAGAGTTGGAAAGTGTTCTAGTTATGGGTTCGGATGTTATGTGAAGGTTTTTTGTCAAGGCCAGATCGATCGTGCTGTGATGGTGTGCCTGTACGGTGGCGTATCTGGTCGGCGTGTCAGGATAGTGTAGTTGTGCGTCCGTGGTGTTGTGTTCCGTCAGATATTCGTAGAGTCGGATTCCGTTCGCTTTGTTGTAGTTGCAGTTCCATGATGTATGTTGCGCGTTGAAGTCTCCTGCCATTAAGACGTGTGTGTTTGAGTCAAGTAGGTTTTGTAGGTCCGTCAGTTGCAGTCCGCTTGCCGGGATGTAAATCGATATTATAGTCACTTTTTGACCCTTTTTACATTAATAGTTGTTATTTCAGAACCGCCCGCTGTCAGGTTTGGCACTTGCTCGTGTCTGATATTAGACTTGATCAATATCGCAGTGCCTCCCCATCCGCCTGAGTTTGTCGGTCTGTCG